TGTGTGTGTGTGTGTGTGTGTGTGTGTGTGGATTTATTTCTGGGCTTTCTATTCTGACCCACTGATTTATGTGTCTCTTTTTATGCCAATACCATATTATTTTAATTACTGTAGTTTTTGTAATATAGTTGGAGATCAGGGAGCATAATGCCTACAGCTTTGTTCCTCTTTCTCAAGATTGCTTTAGCTATTTGGGGTCTTTTGTGGCTGTATACAAATTTTAGGATTGTTTGTTCTATTTCATGAAAAGGAATTCTGATAGGAATTACTTTGAATCTGTATATTGCTTTGGGTAGTGTGGACATTTTTAACAATATTAATTCTTCCAATCCATGAGTTTGAAATATCTTTCCATTATTTGTGTCTTTTTCAATTTCTTTCATTAATGTCTTGTAATTTTCAATATACAGGTCTTTTACCTCCTTGGTAAATTTATTCCTAGGTTCTTTTTGATGCAATTATTAATGGAATTTTTATTCGTAGGTTCTTTTTGATGCAATTATTAATGGAATTATTTTCTTAATTTCTCTTCCGGATAGTTTATTATTAGTGTAAAGAATCACAACAGATTTCTGTGTATTGATTTTGTATCCTGCAACTTCACTGAATTTATTAGTTCTAACCGTTTTTTGATGAAGTCTTTAGGGTTTCTATATATAATTTTATATGTGTATATATTGTAGAATGATTATCACAATAAGGTTAGTTAACACGTCCATGACTTCACATAGTTACAATTTTTTTATGTGTGGTGAGAAATTTTAAAATCTACTCTCTTAGCAACTTTCAAATATACAATACAGTATTGTTAACTGTAGTCACCATAAGATTGGTCTATAGTTTTATCAAGAGGAGAAAGAAGTCAGTAAACTAAGAGTTATCTACCTCCTTGATTAACTTGCTGTGTGATCTTGGGCCAGTCTCTGGCCTTCTCTGGACCTCCTTTCCCCTACCTGCAAAGTGTGGGTTTGGACTCAACTATTTCTGACCACCCACAATTCTGTGATTCTGGGACTAAAAAAAGCAAGATGGCAAGGGCAACATAGTATGAGTTTCCTCACTGGGAAAGATTCGATCTCATTATAATAAGAAAAAAAAAGAATCAAAATAGTTGCCTCCATTTATTTGACCTTCCTTTCCAAGCCGCTGCTGTGAGCTTTGTGAAGGTAGTCTTACTAAATCCTCATAATAACCCTAGGAGGTGGGCACCATGTTTATTCTTTTTTTCCAGGTGAAGAAACTGAGCCTCAGAGATGTCAAATACCTTCCCAAGCACAGAGTCAGTAGGTTGGGACTCAGTTATAGATGTCTGTCTGCATTTGGAGTTTCTTTCTGCTTTGGGGAAGCCCAGAGCCCAGAAGCTGTGGTGGATCTGATCCAGCTGTGCTCTTAGGGCCAACTGTCCTTTTCAAATGTGCCTTCCTTTACTTAGATACCAACATCATTGCTATTTAGGTTTTTTCGATGACCTTCCTTATTTTCTCCCTATTCTGTCTTATTCAGCAAAATGAATGAATGAATGTTTCTTATGATACAAATCTAATTTTCTTCTAGAAATGAAACTGTTTATCTCTCTTCTTTGTTTCTCAAGCCAAAAGAATATTTTCCTCTTTTCTTGGGAGTTCACTTATAAGTTAAAATTTTAATGAAAAGTTTCATAATTCAACAATTGGAACAAGGATCAGGTAATAAGGGAGTAAACTGTGAACACCCCGAGAACACCCTCTTCCATTGGTTGTCTGATCCAAAGCTTCAGAAGCTTCCCACCACATACTCTATTCCCAATGCCTTTCAATTTCTCAGACACTTCCCTTAAGCTCTTAAGATCTTAAGACTCAGGTCAGATGTCCTAAGATTAGGGTCTTAAGATCCTTAAAGACTCAGGTCAGATGTCACTGCTCTTGTGTTACCAATTAATGCAGAGCATGCTTTTTTTGTAAATTTCTGAGTTCTGCATTTAAATGTTAAGCACCGCTTAAACATTGAAGGCAAAGGCCTTATCGCACTGATCTTTGGAACAGCCCTGGATCTGAGCTCCCACGTTGCATGTAATATATGCTCAATAAAGGTTTTGCAGTATATTAGTTTCATATGTATGTGTCAAAAGCTAAAAAGTTCCCAGGCCCTGTGGCCCAGTTATCCCCATGGCAAGAAATTTATCCAAAGGAAGTAATTGAAGAGGAGAAAGGAAATTATACAGAAAAGTGCTGTAAAATATGTATTTGCTAAATATTGGAAACAAGCGAAATGTTTATTAATAGGGTAATGATGAGTAAGTTACAGTACATAATCTTGATGGAACATAATTCATTCTGTCGTTGGCTAAACAAATATACTGACTGCCAAGGAGTGAGAAATAGAAGGAGTCAGACGCCTTCAATGAGTACACAACCTGGCAGAGTCTTCTGAAATGATTACAAAACTATATAGAAATAGAGGGCTATTTGTGGCCTAATGTTAAGAGAGAAAAAAAAAGCAGATTATACGGGCTTCCCTGGTGGCGCAGTGGTTGAGACTCTGCCTGCCGATGCAGGGGACACGGGTTCGTGCCCCGGTCCGGGAAGATCCCACATGCCGCAGAGCGGCTGGGCCCGTGAGCCATGTCCGCTGAGCCTGCGCGTCCGGAGCCTGTGCTCCGCAACGGGAGAGGCCACAGCAGTGAGAGGCCCGCGTACCGCCAAAAAAAAAAAAAAGCAGATTATAAAACTGTCTGTACATTATGACTGCAACTCGAAACACATGAGGGTGTGAGTGAGGTCTCGTGGGCAGATGAAGATATTGTGTGGGTAGATTATAGATGATATTTTCTTTAGCATCATCACAATTGTTTTTCAAGCTTTAAAGTTTCAGTCCATCCCAAATGTTTACTGAGAAAGGGAAAACTGCTCCTGGGACCCTGGCTGTCCAGGTTGGCAGTGGCATGAATGATGGGGGGTTCTCTCCAGATGGGGTTGCCACCAGTTGATTGGGAGAAAATGTTCCAGGCAGTCCGGGAGGGTTGGGTCAGGAAAGGTTATCAACCTGTATATCTACAAGTGTCCATTGAGTGCCACTGTAGGAGCCAGCCTCCTCTGTGTCTGAGCTACGTCATGCAGCAGGGCCCGCAAGGCCCTTCCAAGCTCTGTCAACAGCACCACTTAAGCACGGTGCCAGGTGGGGGAAAAGCTGAAGTCTGGGAACCAGACAAGAGGGATGGAACCTGCAAGAGTTAGAGGCTGGTTCCTCATGCTGGAAAGGATGCTTCCTACATGAAAAGTTCTATTATCTCCATTCTACAGATGAGGAAACTGAAGTTCAGTTGGCCCCAAATTACCCAGCAGATAAGTGATAGAGTTGGGACTAGAAACCATGCCTTCTCAGTTTGGGCCAGTGTTTTTTCTGTTTATCCCCCTGGGCTCTGGAGCAGGTGGCGATGCATGCAGCTGGACTGAAGAGACCTGACTGACAAGGTGGCTGGAGTCCTTTGTGAAGGGGAGGTACTGGCGAATCTCTTGGTGGAACCACATGATGGAGGGTGTCAGAGGCCAGGCATTTGAGCTTGGACTTGATGCAGTAGGCGCTGGGGAACCTTTGTATGTTTGGGGACATGACAGAGGGGGTTTAACGGCGAAGAGGCTGGTGGTGTGTGCTGGCTGGTATGATCAGGGTGGGGCTGGACTAGACGCAGGTAAAGTTGGTGGGCAACTCTTGTTATATCTGATCCAAGCAGCACCCACCCCTCCAGCTTCTTGGAAATATGTCTTCACGCATCTCCAACCACCAGATTGGAATGGGAGCTGCCATCTTATCTATGTCTTCCCTGTGGATACTGCCACCTGGTCCAAGGATAAGAATCTGTTACAAACTTGGCCAATCAGAGCCCTTCCCTGGGAATTTTGACCTTGGGATCAGAGGGATATAGGTCTCATTCCCTCTCTGATGACAAAGCTGTGTTATGTGAGTCTGGGATCTCTGTTACCACTCAGAGATTTGAGAGTCAGAGAGAGGAAGTTCTAGCTAGATTCAATCTCTAGTTTTCACTCACTCTGAGGATTCGCCACCCCCTTGCCCATGTTACAATGCGAATGATACTGCCTCTTTTCAGGCTAAATTAATCTGAGTTGAATTTTTATAATTTGTAAACAAGAAACTCTTGACATTGGCAATAAGAAACATGCCTATCCTTTATCATTCAGATTTTGAGCACAATTCTCAAAAATACTTTCAGGATTGCTTTTGGGCATCAGGCCCATTGTTTCTTGCATGTAAGAAATTTAAAAATCTGTCCTAATTATTCAGTATCAGTCTCAGAAACTCCAGGCTTGCTGGAGAGACAAGGCTTTCAGAGGAGGATGGATGGATTTCCATCACTGGTATAATGAGTGAAATTGCTGCTCAGAACACTTTCTCGCCTGCTCCTTTGTGATTCAGACGGGGACAGGGAGAAACTGACGTGGACGGGATGACCACACAGGACAGCCAGACATTTCCTGTACAGGTGGTAAAGGTATCTTCTGAACTTCTCTCCAGCAAATGCATAGATAAGGGGATTAAGGCAACAGTGGGTAAATGCAACTGTCTCAGTCACACTGAGGGCCAACCGCAGATCCCTCTTCATGTCACAGTTGGGAAAGAAGTCATAGAGATTGAGTGTCTCTAAGAAAATCATGATGTTGTAAGGTGTCCAGAAGAGGAAAAACATGATGACCACAAGAAAGATCAGCCTAATGGCTTTAGCTTTCTTTTGGTTTTTGCAGGAAAAAAGTGTCCACATGATTCTGAAGTAACAGTAACTCATAATAAGCAGGGGGAGCAGGAAGCCAAGAAAATTGATTTCTACGTTGCGGAGCACAGGCCAGATTTCCTGTAGGACCTCAGGGTAGTCACCAAGGCATTCGTTTTCCTTCTGTTTGGTGAACATGAACTGGGGTGCGGCCACCAAGATGGCGGCTGCCCAGACGCCAAGGCTGATGGTGACGCCATGCTGCACAGTCCGGTTGTTCATGGAGTTGGCAGCCAGGACAATGGCCAAGTACCTGTCGATGCTGATGATGGTGATGAAGAATATGCCTCCAAAAAACCCGATGAAGAAGAAGGCGGTGGTGAGTTTGCACACGGCGTTGTGAAGGCCTTGCTCGTTTATAAGATAGTGAGTCCAGAAGGGCAAGGTGGCTACAAAGAGCAGATCAGAAAAGGCCAGGTTCAGGAGGTAAACGTCAGTGATGCTCTTGGGCTTCTGGCTGTTGGTGAGGGCAAACACCACCAACAAATTTCCCACCAGGCCAAAGGCAAAGACAAGGGAGTAGAGTATGGCCAGGAAGACAGTTCCCAAGGCCACGATGTCCCCCATATCACAGGCTTCTGCAAGCTCATCATACTCAAAGTCTTCTAAACTTGTTTCAGGGGAGATGGTGGTCATGGTGAGCACCTGGATGAGAAAGGAAGACAGCTAATGGCATTAGTTCTCAGAGAAACAAAGTTGGAATTCTGCCCCTTACATAGGCAGACTGGAAGAAGAAAAGATTTGGTTGGCTGTCTAACCAATATGTTTCCGGATGTCATGCGTGCTATCTTGTTTAATCTCTGTGATGGAGGCTATAACAGACCCCTTTGACAGAGAGGAAACCAGTCCCTGAGAGGCTGAGTGACTTGCCAGAAACTATGCAGTAAATGGCTCAGTTAGCATTTGAATCTAAGCCTTTTGAAGCTTGAGACAGATCTTTTTTTCTTTGATTTTCAAAAGTCTATCTGAAAGATAGCTAGCTTGACCAGGGTGTGGATGGGGGAGAGGGGAGTGGTGGTGGGGACGCCGTAATTCATACTTCCAGTTCAAACTTCCATTCTCCACCCACTTCCTTTCTCCCACCTCTCTGCCCTCTGGATCCTCATTTCTCCTGCATGAACACTGAAGACAGAGGTCCTAGACACTGCGGAGCCCTGGGCAGACCTGCACCCAGAGCCTCGTCTTTGTTTTTGAGAGCTATTTCTTTCCCTCTCCCTCTTGGAACCAGCTAAGTCTTTCTGTTCCTTAAGGGATAAGACATAGAGTCAGACACCCTAGGGTGATTACCTTGCCTTGATTTGCCCAGGACTCTTCTGGTTTTAGCACTGAAAGTCTCACATGTCAGGAACCCCTCAGTTCTAAGCCAGCTGGGACGGTCAGTCATCCTACAACTCCAAGAGGGAGTGTCACCATCAACCAGGCCTTTACAGTCATGAAAGGGCTGATGGATCCTAGATGGAGGCCTGTGCTCAGTTAGCTTCTTGCCCTGGGTCTTGGGGGCTAAGTAATCTAATTACCAGCCCTGCACTTCACTGTGACCTGGCCGCCCCCACTGTTCTTTTCCTGTTTTTTTCTGGACAAGAATGGAAAGATAAGACATTTCTGCTCAGGTTGGGAAGTGACACTTGTGCATCCCCTCTTCTCCCAGCCAAGATTCACTCCAGAGGCTGCAAGGGGAGCCCTTTTGCCCTGGTCCTCTGGGACCCCCTCCTCTTCCTTGTGATACCACAAGACAGGCCCTCAGAAACCTCAGTGCACACCTCCTGGTCGTCACTGCCTCCACTCAGCACAACTAAAACCAAAGCTCACGCTTCTTTAACCAGGGGAGTTTCCACACCCCGCTACATACTTTTCATGCTGGTTTCACCAAGATGGTGTCTCTGCCAAGGCGAGGGCCCCCCCAGCCAGGGCTTTGCTTCTCCCTTCCCAGCCTCTGCTTAGTGTCCTGGCCCAGCTCTGCGTCCCACCCAGACTCCTCCGGGCGAAGTGGCCCAAGGCTTTCTCACCTGGGCCGTCTCAGGCTGGGATGGAGTTCTCAGCCCCAGGGAACTGTATGCTTTCTTTGCTTTCAGCTGCAATGCCCTTTTCTCAGAGAGGAGCCTCTGGCTATGACCTTAATCAATAAAAGTTAAGTTGAACCATATAAAATGGCTGATATGCAACCATTTTTGAGTGACATAAATGTCAGTTTCAAATGGCTCGGCTGAGATGCCGGGCGGCCGGGAGTGGCCGCTTGGTGCAGGTGACTTGTTGCTGGAGCCCATCTTCCCAGACAGTCAGCTGTGTAGGAACACAAACAGTCAAGCCCTTGTAGCCCTAAGCTGCGGATGCTGGGGGTAGCCCCCCCTCTTCCCGGCCCCCACCCCGGGGCAGGAGCTGGCAGAGTTGACCTCGAGAGGAGTCCAAGGACAATAAAAATCGTTTTGCACCTCTTTTGGGCCTGTGTTCAGTCCTGAAAGCCCAGGAACTTGGTGCTTTTGAATTGGCTTGATTTTTGCCAAATCTGCATGTGCTGGGTTTGATTTCCACTCTTGGCGGCATGCCTCACACACATCTTAGGGCAGGTTGTCCCTGGGTCATTGGGAAGAGTGGGGAGGTGGGCTAGAAGAGGACGGGCACACACTTGGCAGCCCTGAGCCAGGTGCCCAGCAAGGAGAGGGGAGGGACTGGGGACCTCCTTGCCACATGCCACCTGTTTATTTCTGACATCCTGGCCTTTTCCAAGCTCTTCCTGCACCTTCCCCATCCTCTCATCATGAATATCCTTGGAGCCCTTCAGCAGGGCAGTGAATCAAATATAGAACTTTCCTTTCAGAATTACAGAGAGGATTAAATAGGTAATAACATGAAGTGGCTAGAACTTGACAGCTTTATCCAGGCACCTTTTCAGGAAAGGTGGGCCTGAGCTGGGTGGACCTTTTATTTCTGGGTCCTCTGAGATGTCCCAGGATTGGGCCAGAAGCCTGAAGATAGGGCCTCCTGGTAGCAGACAAGAGCAGGGCTAATGCCCTAGGGGGTCAAAGTGCTGCCAGAGATCAACTGGCTTTCACTCAGGCTGCACACTGGCCTCCCAGACCCTGAGGACACCAGAAACCAAGTGCAAGAATCCAGTGAAGGCGCAGTGGCTAAGAATCCGCCTGCCAATGCAGGGGACCCGGGTTTGAGCGCTGGTCCAGGAAGATCCCACATGCCGCAGAGCAACGAAGCATGTGTGCCACAACTACTGAGCCCACATGCCACAACTACTGAAGCCCGCACACCTAAAGTCCGTGCTCCACAACAAGAGAATCCACCACAGTGAGAAGCCTGCGCACTGCAACAAAGAGTAGCCCCCGCTCGCTGCAACTAGAGAAAGCCCGCGGGCGTCAACAAAGACCCAACACAGCCAAAAAGAAATAAATAAAATTTAAAAAAAAAGAGGGCTTCCCTGGTGGCGCAGTGGTTGAGAGTCCGCCTGCCGATGCAGGGGACATGGGGTCGTGCCCCGGTCCAGGAGGATCCCACATGCCGCGGAGCGGCTTGGCCTGTGAGCCACGGCCGCTGAGCCTGCGCGTCCGGAGCCTGTGCTCCGCAACGGGAGAGGCCACAGCAGTGAGAGGCCCGCGGACCGCAAGGAAAAAAAAAAAAAAAAAAGAGAATCCAGTGAAATAAGCCTTCACAGCATCTACTAAGCGAGGTTCATATAGATGGGATTGCAAGGGGAAGGATAGGTGCCGGAGTGAAGCACTAACACAGGTCCCACCACACTAACTGAGGCTGCACCGCGCACGTCCCCTCAGCTGTCCTCGGGTCTCCTCACCCTCTGTTCTGTTAAGTCAACGTTTTACTAAATGGTGCTGAGCTGGGAGAGTCTGGGCTGAACCTAGAAGCTGAGCTTTGAATACACATGGGTTTCACACCCAAGTTGAAATGAATTTTGTAGAACCTGCTTTAAAAAACACCAAGCTGGCTCTACTGCCGATCCTGTTCTACTTCCTCCGGTCACTTCCTTTTCTCAGGCCTGCTCACTTATTTTTTAACTTTTTTTTTTTGGTCATCATTACCCACTGTTTCCAATCAGCTTCCCTTTTCTATACTTCCCCTCTCATTAGCTGGCCCCCAACCACATTCTTCTCCCCAGCGTCTTTTTTGTGTTGCTTCCTCCTCTCTTTTGGCTTCATGTCCTGCTTAGTTTTCTAGATTCAATGAGTCTTCTTTCGTTTGTTTACCTTCCTTGCTCTCTTTTTATGGCTTTTTAGGCCCTTGAGTCCACGCGGGTTTGAGGTTCAGTCTAATGCCAATTGTGAGGCTTAAGTTTTTTCCTTTGGACCAAACAAAACTCAGGAATTGCTTGATCCCTGATCCCAACTTTCCCCGTGGGGGGTACCACTATCTCTACCACTAACCTCTAGAACCTGAGGTTATCCTCAGAAAGCCCCAGTTTAGGAGCGAAGGCTGCCGTTCCCGGATACCTGCTAAGTGTCATGCTCCAGACACAAGACCCCATTTAATTCTCACCACAACACCTCATGGGAAATGACTCTGCCCCCTTGCAAAATAACCACCAGTGGCTCAGAAAGATTTGGGTAATTTGTCCAAGGGAGCAACAGAACCAGGATTTCAACCCAGATGCGTCTCTTCACAAAACCGTGTTCCCTGCCCTGCACCATGCTTTCCCTCTTGGAGGGGAATTCTGCATGTTACTGCAGGCCCTGTCTCTAGAATGAGAACTGAAAAATAGTAGAGGTGACCCCCCATTTAAAGGATAAGATTCAAGAAGTGACCCTGAACACTCTTCCTGGGTTTCGCCTTCTAGACTCAGGACCCAGAAGGCTGACCCTCAGCGAAACGGTGGGTGGGAAATGGAGGGGATGGGGATATTATTTGCCTCTCCAACCATGACTAGGTGGTCCTCACTGCCAGAGCACCAGAACCTAGCTCTCAACAATGGTGGTGAAGAAATGGGAATCCTTTTCTCTGGAGAAGGAAAGGCTGAAGGCTAAAGGGTCAGCTTATTTCCTGTCTTCAAATACACAGTGATGCTCTTCAGAGCTATGTACTTCAGAGGGGTCCACATACCCTGAAATAAGCTGGCAGACCCTGGGCAGCTCACTTCCAGCTCGGCCTCAGTTTCTTGATGTATGTAATGAAAGCCCTGGACCGGACCATCTCTGAGGGCCTGGCCAGCTCTGGATGCTCAGTTTTCCAACAAGGACCGAACAGAAGGAAACAAACGGTTTTAAAGAGCAGCATGAGTCCTGGGTCAGGGTAAGCGTGGCCTCGTGTCCACAGAGTGGCTGCTCAGCAGCCTGCGAAGCTTCTGGGCTCGCAGGCGGCCAGCATTCAGATGAGGTTCTGTTTGGAGACAGAGAGCTGAATTAGTTAATTTTGAGTCCTGACAGATCTGGAATTCACCTTGGGCCACGTAGGAAGGTTCTCAGTCTGGCCCCAAGCCCACACCCCTGGCTACTTGGGACCCTGAGTTTAAGGACCTGATGGTTTTCCAATTTACAATGACAGCTATTTTTTAGGATGCAGAGAGAGCAAGGCCAAGAAGGCAGAAGAAGGGCAGATGGATGGGCCTTGAATTCCATACTGAGGAGCAGTGGGCACATTTTACAACTTGCACCCCATCCTCCACACAAGCAGATTGAGTGACTTTCTATTCCTGCAGCAGAGTCCACCTAAAACAACTTGGCGTGACTCACCCACCAGCATTTTCTACGGGCCAAAACACACCACAAGCCAAGACCAGTAACAGGAGAAAACCACACATGGAGTGAGGCCCCTCTGCTCGTGTGTGAGCCACCCCTTCACAGGACCTGCCCCTGTTCTTTGTTTGCCACACCTCCCTCTGCTTTCCTCCTCAAAGTCCTTTATGGTATTTATTTATCTCTGTCAAAATGAACTGTGAAATTTAGAAAGGAAATGCCTATGACTTTCCTTTTTTAATAACTGAAGAAGAGATGGACTTGCTTATTAATTAGTTTTGATTAAGCCAATGTCTGTTAATTATCTTTACCATACACTGGTGTAAGGACAAGTGAAAATTAAAAATAAGAGGCTTGGGACTTCTCTGGTGGTGCAGTGCTTAGGAATCTGCCTGCCAATGCAGGGGACACAGGTTCAAGCCCTGGTCCAGGAAGATCCCACATGCTGTGGAGCAACCAAGCCTGTGTGCCACAACTACTGAGCCCGTGCACCACAACTACTGAGCCCGTGTGCCACAACTACTGAAGCCCGTGCACCTAGAGCCCATGCTCCACGACAAAGAGGAGCCACCGCGAAGGGAAGCCCGTGCATCGCGACGAAGCGTAGCCCCCGCTCAGCACAACTAGAGAAAGCCCGTGCACAGCAACGAAGACCCAACGCAGCCAAAATTAATTAATTAATTAATTAATTAACTAAAAAAAATAAGAGGCTTAATTCTCCCTGTTGGAAATAAGGGACAAGAGTCCACTTGCCTCCTTTTTCTTAGAGTATTTATTTGAGAAAACATGTAATTGTACCTTCTTTCCTCTTTGAAATGTGGATATATGTCCTTTAGAAAATGTGATCATTTCCTCTGTCAGCTTCAGAGCCGGGAGCCATCTCTTTGAAATGCAGATATTGAGATGCCCAGGCTCCCAGTCCCAGAGGGAGGGCAGGAGCCTGACTTGGGCAGGAACCTGGCTCCAAGTTACACAACTACCTCTGATAATAAAGGGATGAGAAGTTTGTTTCTCCTCTGGATGAAGCCAACCAACTAATACAGATGATGAAACCAATGACCATGGTAAACTTGGGATGAACTGTGTGTGACTGTCAGGTTCCCTTACTTGAGCACCAGTTATTGTGTATCTTGAGAACATGTGTGTAAGAGGTTGTGTCTGGTCATATACCAGGGTGAGATTTTTTGTGTCTTTACTACCTCATAGCGGATTGCCTGTGATGCACATCACATTTAATGCTTATTCAGTAATGAAAGAGTTTTCTTTCTTTACCATATTCATGGAGAGATTTTTCTGGGTTGGAGATTTTGTTTTTCATTCTATTTCCCCAACAGTAGGCACTGTGCTCAATTCTGTAAAGGTAAAAATGTCTAAGATATAGTCTCTGGGAATTTTTATTATTGTTTAGTAACAGAGTATAAGAAAAGTGATGGGAAACCCAAGGATCAGACCATTTAAGCTGAGTGTTAAAGGCTGGGAGGGTCTTCCAGGTTGATAAAGATGGCGGTGGGCATGGGGTGGGGTGTGGTTGGAAGCCAAAGGCACTGAGAGTATGAGCATAAGGAGGTTTCCTGGGTCCACGGCCAGGCAGAGAGGGTGTGAGGGACTACACAGAAACAGAAGGAAGTGAGGATGGTGGGGTTAGGAGGGGCCAACCTGTTCCCGGAGACTTCAGGAAAGTTCACTTTAGTCTGAGTGGAGGGCTCAGGAAAGGATGCAGAGAGAAGGCAGAAGAGGGGTAAACAGAGGAGCCTCAAATTCTACACTGAAGATCTATAAGGAGAAATTATAAAAGACTTTAATAGGCAAAAAAATCCTTTACTGGGTGTCCTGTCTAGCACACCCTTTGGGGCCATCTCCCCCTTTCACTGTCTGAGCTAATTTACAAATGACTGATGATGACGTGATAATTCTTGTTCATGGAAACAGAAATTGTGTCTGGTGGTGATGCATTTGATAACTGCCATGTGGATAGGGGCTAATTTTGCATTTATCTGTAAATTCATCTCAGCATTTCTGGTAGTATCTCATCCATGCTAGTGCTGTGGCTATGGTCTATTCACTGTTATTGCTGAATAGGATTGCACTGTGTGAGTGTCCCACGATTATTATCTGTTCTACGCTGATGCACCCCTGGGTGGCTTTCAGTTTTTGAACAATTCTGTCATGAACATTTCTGTGTGTGCATCTACATCTCCTACAGTAGAAATGCATTTAAAAAATGCAAACCAAAAAAGCAGACATACTGTATGAATCCACATATATGAAGGTCAGAAACAGGCAAAGAAAATCCACAGTGTTTAGGAATGAATATGTAGGAGGTAAAACTACACGGACAAAGAAGGAAGCAATGACCATAAAAGTCAGGAATGGGGTGATTTGGGGGAGGGCAGGGGTGGTGATCAAGAAGGGACCTGAGGGAGGCTGCCGGGGGCTGGCCTGGTTCTCTGCTGCTACCTGGATGTTGGTTTGGTAGCAGATCAATTTATAAGCTGTTGACCTGCACACTGTCCTTTGAGTGTGTTATGTTTCCCAATGAACATAGGTTTAAGGAAAAAGATGAAGAGGCCTGGGAAGATATTTAAAGAGATGTGGTATAGGTTTTCTTCCCTGCCAAGAGTCACAATTCACTCACATGTGTGACCACTCATACTTTCTTTCTGAAGATGATGTTTTCCAATGACACAAACCTTCTGAGCCCAAATGCCCTCACAATGATAAAAACAGTATACATTAATGTTGAACATCAAAGTGTGTCAGCAATTTGTTATTAAAATAATTTTTGTTATAAATGCAATAGTTGCTCATTATTAAAAATGCAGGTGTTGGGACTTCCCTGGCAGTCTAGTGGTTAAGACTCCGAGCTTCCACTGCAGGAGGTGTGGGTTTGATCCCTGGTCTGGGGCCTAAGATCCCATATGCCTCATGGCACAGCCAAAAAAAGAAAGAAAAAAATTGCAGATGGCACAAAAAAGTATGGAAGAAAGAGGAAAGAAAAAACTCAAAACTATCTAAAATCCAACTTCCCAGAACCAACCACAGCTAGCTTTTAGCTTCTTCCGTCCAATCTTTATGCATATTTTAATATTCTCATTGAGTAGATTTAAAATGCAAATGCTATTTTTAAAACTTTTTATTATACAATTTCCAAACATATATAAAAGCAGAGACAACCCCCATGCACTAATTACCCAGCTTCAACAATTAGCAACTCATGATCAGTATTTCACCTATTCCCCACTCATGCCCTACTGGATTATTTTAAAATAAATTCAGGGACTTCCCTGATGGTGCAGTGGTTAAGACTACACACTCCCAATGAAGAGAGGGGGCCTGGGTTCAATCCCTGGTCAGGGAACTAGATCCCGCATGCCGCAACGAAGAGTCCACGTGCAGCAGCTAAAGATCCCTTGTGCTGCAGCTAAGACCCGGCACAACCAAATAAATAAATAAATGTTTTAAAATAAATAAATAAATAAATCCAGATGTCACAACATTTCACCCATAAATAGTGAAATGTGAGTCTCTAAAAGAATAAGAAAGAAAAAAAATAAAATTATTTTAAAAAATAATAGGGAGTTCCCTGGTGGTCCAGTGGTTAGGACATTGTAATTGATTTACAATGTGTTAATTTCTGCTGTAGAGCAAAGTGATTCATATATATGTGTGTGTGTGCATATATATTCTTTTCCATGCTATACAGTAGGATCTTGTTGTTTATCCATTCCATATATAATAGTTGGCAGATGCAATTTTAAATGATGCTTTTTTTTGAGCATTTCTCCATGTCCCTGAAATGTAATTACTAACACTTCTAATCATATTCCACTATGTTAAGCATATCATAAATGATCTAATCACTCACTGCCTCCCATCGCCCCCAAGCCCCTTGGACATTTAGGCTGCAACATCCTCTGGAAAATGGTCTCCCTTGTTGGCATGTAAAGCAAACCAGCATCATTAACCAACTTTGACCTCTGACCACAGTGCCCCACCCAGCTCGCCCACAGGTGCTGAAAGAGTCCTCTGCTCCTACCTGGGCTGGACCTGGGAAGGGAACCTCTGGATATGCCAATCAGCCGCCCTGTCCCACGCAGACTCTGCCAGAGTGTATTTCCCTTTCCTTCCCTCTGAGAGCATCTTTAATTGCAAAGTTAGCCAATAGTATCTGGTTTCCTGTGAGGTAGACTATCTTTAGATGCTGCTGCAGGCAAGTTCAGAAACTCCAGGCTGGAGGCCAGCTGGGACAGGAGCGCCTGAAGTTACAGACCTGGAAGACCCAAGCCTGGGGCAGACCAAGAGGGGCTTGGAGGGAGTGGTAACTTAGGGGCTGTGTTATCTCCCTCACATGGGTGGAGGGCAGGGAACAGTATAGCTCTTTTAATGATGTGCCTTCAGGCAAGCCCAGAAACTGAGCCTCAGTTTTCCTGCCAATAAACAGGAGCCGATAATACTCACTGGACAGCATTGGGGCGCAGATTGAATGAGCTACAGTTTTTCTCCTCAAAGTGTGATCCCAGTTAGGAGCTTATCAGAAATGCAGCACCTCAGACCCCCACCCTAGGCCTCTTGAATTAGACTCTGCATTTTTTTTGATGCCTTATAGATTTTATTTGTTATAAAGAAAATTCATCTCTATATGTATCTTTATTTCTTTCATGTGACTTGCTTTATTGTGATATCTGCTTTATTGTGGTGATCTGGGACCGAACTCACAATATCTCTAAGGTATGCCTATATTGTTTTATTAACAAATTTTTTTTCTATTGAAGTATAGTTGATTTACAGTGTTTCAGGTGTACAGCAAAGTGATTCAGTTATACATACATATACAAATATATATATATTCTTTTTCAGATTCTTTTTCATTTTAGGTTATTACAAGATATGGAATATAGAGACTCTGCATTTTAATGAAATTCTTAGGAAATTGGTAAACACATTGAGTCTGAGAGGCGTTGGCACAGAACACACCTACTGAGTGCCTGTTACCTGATGGATACTTAATAATTATGTTTCCCCTCACCTCCCACATTCAAGGCATCTAGTGATTCCCTATGCCTTGCAGTCAAGCCCAAGTTCTGTACCTGATGGGCAGTGGCACAGGCTGCTCCAGCGGGATGTGGCACCTGGCTGGGCCCTGTTGTACAGGCCGTGCTCCTGCTCCCTGCCCTGGCCAGCTGGTTCTTTGACTGTAACTCGTATCTCAGCCACCTCGGCTGCACTGCCTTCCCACCACTTCCTTACCTGCCTGAGTCATATTCAAGGCCAAGCCTCTTCCTAGTCCATCCCTATCCCAGGGCCTAGCCAGGGTCTGGCACCAGTGGGCCCTCAACACACGTGTTTATCGCGTGGTCAGTGACCACACCCCCACAAGACCTTCTCTGGCTGCCCACTGCCCTTCTCACAGCTTGTGCCCAGTGTGCCCCTGGTCTCCTATGCTATGCTGAGGGTGGGGCTACACTGCAAGCTTCCACCTTGCCTTCTCCCCACCCCCAACATGGACTCACCGGCCAGGACCAGCTGTGGCTGGGATTGCAGTGCTCTGGGTTGGCTGACCTGCTGGCGTTTGAGGAATTCCACTGCCCCATTTCCTTTCTCGGTCTCCCCCTGGCCTAAGTGTCAGGCCACCTTTCCCTGCCTTTGGCCAGGCTAAAATTTGTGCTAAAAAGAATCCAAAGACTGCTGCTAGAACTCAATATAGAGGAGCCTGCCCCACTGAGGACTGACAGGCTTTACTCAAATACCTCAAGCTGCAGGAAACTTCAGATACTTGTTAGTGTTTGTGGACACTTTTTCTTTTTCTTTTTTTTGGCCGTGCCATATGGCATGCAGTATCTTAGTTCCCTGACCAGGGATCAAAGCTGGGCCCCCAGCAGTGGAAGCGCAGAGTCCTAACCACTGACCTGCCAGGGAATTCCCTGTGGACACTTTTTCAGAATGAGTGGAAGCATAAGCCACCTGGACAGAAAAAACATCGGAAGTAGTTAAATCCCTCTTTAAGGAAATTATTGCCCGAGTTGGATTGCCTGCACCCTTCAAAGTGACGGTTGCACTGTCTCCAGTATAACCCAACAGGTATCTAAAGCGTTGCGTATTGTTGGAAACTACATTCAGCCTGAAGACCACAATCAACAGGAAAAACTGAGAAAATGAATCACATATTCAAAGAGAGCATTGCTAAAATATGTCAAGGGACCAACTTGGTATAAGGTCTTGCCAGTTGCCCTGCTATGGATTAGAGTGGCTCCCAGAAGTGAGCCCTTCAGGAATATTGTGTGGTAGGCCATTCCAGGTGTCTGCCTGGGCAGGAGAATCTGTAGATGTCTTAAAGGACCTAGCAGTCAACAACTATGTTAAGAATTGGGCACTATATGAACTTCTGTTCATGAATTTGCTTCCAGTAGGTCCACCTACCCAACCGAGATGCTACTGCACCCCTTCCATCCCAGGGATTGAGTCCTCCTCAAAACTTGGAGAGAACAAGGACTGGGACATCAACTTGCCACTAAGTGGACAGGACCATACAAGGTGCTGCAGAACACCCACTCCTCGTTTTGATAAATTAGCCAGGATAAGGCCATGGATTTACCACACCCGAGTAGAGCTCACTCCTCTAGAAACTGGACAGGATGAAGAAAAATAGACTTGGCCTTGTGAGACATTAGAAGATCTTAAGTTGCTGTTTCGAGTCAGGCCTCTTACCAGACAAGTAATGATGACTCTTGCTCTTCTCTTTTGTTTCACTGCACTGGTGACAGCCACTTGTTAGAAAGGAAATGCTTTAATAAAACTATCTCCAAGTGTGGCCAAAGAGGGGAAATAACCCTCTTTAAAGATATAAAGAACCTGCTGTATTAAAAAAAAAGATATAAAGATAGCATAGCGCAGAACTTCGTGGGTATCCTTATTCCAAGTTTATGTGTACATTCAAGTGCTTGTCTAAGCATTGTGAAGGACCATAAAAAGGGGGTCCAATGCAAACTGTTCATGCCCAGCCTGGGCCTTGGGAATACTTCCAGTCCCAAACTGATCAATTCCGTTACACAATCACCCCCTCATGGTCTCTGTTCAGCAG